TTATGTTTTTTTAATCCGTCTAATTTTCTCCGATATTTCCTAATTATCTTATAATTTCGTCTAATTTTCTCTGATTATTTCTAATGTCTCTTATAAATTTCTCTGATTTGTTTGATACTTTAATTTGCAATGAAACGGATGATTTCTCTTGATTGTTTCTGATTTTTCTTGATTCTTGAGATTTTCAAAATTTCCTGTGATTTTCCTATAATTTCTTTTACTTTTTCTTGATTGTTTTGGTTTTCTGTGATTTCTTTTAATGTTGTAATGATTTTTTTCTGATTAAAATTGTGAATGTTGCGATAACTAATTTCCCAAATTAGATTTTTAATATTAATTATGGGCAAATAAAATGATTTTGTAATTTCAATTACAAATATTTATTTTAATATTGTTTATTAAGTTGTTTTGAGTACAAGGAATGTAAGTATCTCCCCAAGACGCCTCTCAAGTTGAGAGAATTCAGATAAGACATTCAAAACAATCACTTCATTTACTTACTTCCCGAGTATCATACAATATAACTCCTACCACTTTATCCTTCTATTTCCTTGCAGTATCAGTTCTGAAGGCAAATACATTTCGTTGACATCGATTTACATACAGCATTACAGTTCCCATTTTTGCTGAAACGAATCCTGAAAGTATCAAAAGTTTAAATTTGAAAAAAAAATAAATTAGGTGAATATTTTCAAACGTTTAACAATCTCTGAAATTTTATTACGTTGAAATTCGAAATTTGCCTACATAATTGGATTTTCTTCGCACAGCTGGAGACCAATCCGAAACAAATTTTTCACAATAGATTACACACATTCCGGCATGTTTTTAAAAATTAATTAATAATTTCTCCCCAATATCGAATCAGAGTGCAAATGCTAAATAATGCAAGAAATGAAATTTTAAACAAATTTAACTTGGTTTTGAGGAAAAACAAGCACAGTATGTAACTAGTTTTGTGTGAATAATGAAACATTTCATCATTAAAAAATTTTTTCACGTTATGCATCAGAAATTCATTGAGTTTCTCTCTTCATCAGATGTCGGATATTTATGAAATGGTGATATTATGCAGATTGAGGCAATGAAAAAGCGCTTATTTCAGCATCAAACAATTAATTTTCAATGTTGCTGCTCTCTTAAGCGAATCATTCATTATTCCACGGTTATTGTCGAATTCACATGCAAATGTAATCTCGAATGTAATCTAACTAATACGCAAACTGTTCAAACAAGCTAATATTGAGGTGCAAAGTATTTTTCCAAGAAGCTTCGATTCAATTTCCAAATGAACAGGATGTGCAACGTTCCAACAATAATTGTACTAATTTAATAACATTACTTAGTTAGTTACAAAGAGATTAAAACTGGAATATTAGTATTTTAGTGTTTGCACGACTTGGAAGTTTCTAATTACAAGACAAGCTTTGTTCAAATTTAATTATCCAGCAGCTTTGGGTTATTTTAATCGAGTGGTTTTTTATTTGTCATTTATTAATATCGAGGCAATTTTTAGCGGATTATGTGCGATTTTCTTCTGGGGAAGTACAAAACCATGATTATGTACGACGTTTAGTCCATTAAATCGAATCTTGTCGACGTTTCCTCTTCCACTCTAATTACATCGTTTTTTTGCACAAAGTGGTGGAGTTTAAACAGATGTGACGTTTTACAAGTAAATCCCAAGATCTATAAAAGCCGTTGGACTTTAAGAACGCACATAAATAATGCATGGACAGAAAATGCGAGGAAATGATACGAAAGCGTCGATGTGACATGGAAGTGACATATTCAGGGAATCTTCAATAAAATATGAAGCAATTTTTTTCTCTTTTAAGTAAAAAGCTTCGAATTTTCGCTTCAAGTTGTGCTGCACTTGTTGACATGGAACTCTAGAAGGGTTAAGAAACAACAAGTTTACAAGAAATTTAGCTTTCTTTGTTCTAACTATTCCAGAAACGGAGTTTATTTACACTTACTTAGTTGAAAACAAGTAACTTTGTTTTATGCTAATAAATTGTATAATGTTTCAACGGCAAACAAAGATAATGTCTTTAGAAAAGTTAAAAATTCTGATTTACTAACGAATACAATCAAAAGTTTAAACAGATGTTTCTGACAGGATTTGTTCAGTATAACCGATTCGATAATCTTTCACAATAACTCGCCGTAATGTTTTTTAATGGATAAAAATGAAAAAACTTTAAATTGAGTTTTCTGGTCGACCAGTTCTTATTTCGAAACAAATTAATTGAGCGTAAAAATGAAAATATGTGAAGCCTTAAGGGTGTCTCAAAAAAAATTCAGGATTTGGTTGAACGAGTTTATTAATTAAATTAATGAATTTGAATATTTGCCGTCAGAAATCGATCGAGTCCTGTAAACATGTGTTGAATAAACAACGATAAATAATGAACAAAACGTGCATTTTTTGTATTTTACACATTTGAAAGAACCATAAATTTTTATATGTACTCTACATAAATTCATGCTGCTGTGACACTAAAATATATCTTGCTGTTTCGATTACACTGGGCGACAAAAAAAGTCATGTCGTGACAATACACTTTGAACTAACTAATTTTTTTCTAATTTAAAGGAATTTAAAATACTTTAACTTTAAAAAATCATTACTTAATAACTATTAGGCCGATTTCCTTCAAATAAAAACCATTCTAAAGGGATGGCTTTGCCCTTTATGATGATATGAAATTTGAAATTGAATATTGGAAAACTTTTCTTCGAATAGTGTTCGAAGAAGTTTGAAGTAAATCGAAATAATCTAAGAAAAACCCTAAGAGTATTTTTTTTTTCATCATTAGCATCGTGTAGAGCATTTTTTTATTAGTTGTAATCCAAATTTTCAAAAGCATTCAATAACGTTAGAAAGTGATAAAAAAGCATTTGCTCAGAACATTTTCGAAATAATCCTCTAATTTCTCTTATTTTTTTCTGATTTCCTTTAATTTTCCCATAATTTCTTTTATTTTTCTTGGTCTTTTGATTTCTACACATTTCTCCTAGTTTTTCAAAATTTCCTCTGATTTCCTTTGATTTCTCCTAAATTCTTTGATTTTCTCAAGATTTCTTTTAATTTACCTATTTTCTTATGATCTTCATCATGGATAAGGTTTGAGCTTATTATCTCAAAAACTTCAAAACTTTTTACTATTTCAAAAAATTTCTTAAATTTTTTGATGATTTTTGAAATTTTGTACATACCGCAATGTGAAATGGTCGTATTTAGATTTAAAAAATCCATTTTACAACTTCAAGTTTCCAGTCTTCTACGAAATGAATGATTTTTCTGAATTCTTTTGATTTTCTCATAACTTCTTCTTGTTTTCCTTGAATACCTTATGTATCTTTTTAATTCTTCTGTTTTTTTATGATTTCCTTTGATTTTCTGATAATTTCTTTTATTTTTCTTGGTCTTTTGATTTCTACACATTTCTCAAAGTTTCTCAAAATTTCCTCTGATTTCCTTTGATTTCTCCTAAATTCTTTGATTTTCTCAAGATTTCTTTTAGTTTACCTATTTCATTATGATTTTCATCATGGATAAGGTTTGAGCTTATTATCTCAAAAACTTCAAAACTTTTTACTATTTCAAAAAATTTCTTAAATTTTTTGATGATTTTTGAAATGTTGTATATACCGCAATGAGAAATGGTCGTATTTAGATTTAAAAAATCCATTTTACAGCTTCAAGTTTCCAGTCTTCTACGAAATGAATGATTTTCTCATGATTTTCTCTGTATTGTCTTAATTTTTTTCTGAATTCTTTTGATTTTCTTATAACTTCTTCTTGTTTTCCTTGATTACCTCATGTATCTTTTTAATTCTACTGATTTTTTATGATGTTTTTCTGTTGGTACATTCTAGGATTAGCTTCAGTTAGCTTGTAGGTAGTAGTTGTTGTGATAACAGTTGCACACGAAGCAACTGACTTATTGCATTCAACATCAGTAGAAAGTGATGAGAAAGCATTTCCTAAGAACATTTTCAATAAAAAGTTTAGAAAGTTAGAACAAAGTGAACAAGTTGGAATCTGAATGGAAAGTGATTTAATTTGAAAAAGATTTGTTCTTATATTTAAAGCTACTATTTTAAACTTCTAAATACTTTTTGCTCAATTATCAGTGATCATTTTTAGAACAAAAAAACTCTTTATTTGCTTTAATTAGTACGCAGGTACTCTTTGTTTGTTTTAAGTAAACAAACAGTTTTTGTTTATTCTAATTAGAACAAAGAAGGTGCAATTGACCATTTTTAAGCAAAAGAAAAGTCTTAAAACAAATACTTTTATAAAAATGCAATTTTAAATAAGATTAACATGCATTTCTCCTATATGGTGCAAACCTTAACTTCAAAAAATCATATCTTAAAAACTACTACTAAAATTTGGGTTGTTACTAATAAAAAGATGCTCTTCACGATGGTGATAAAGAAAAAAAATTTACTAGTAGGGTTTTTCCGATTTACTTTGAACTTCTTCGAACACTGTTCGAAGAAAAGTTTGCTAATATTCAATTTCAAATTTTATCATTCTAAAGAGCAAGTCCATCCCTTTAGAATGGTCTTTATTTGAAAGAAATTGGCCTAATAGTTGTTGAGTAATGATTTTTTAATGTTAAAGTATTTGAAAATTATTTAGTTCAAAGTGTGTGGACTTTTTGAGATTTTTTTTAGTGCATTTGATTTGTTTCACTGCGACGAACAAAATGATATAAAATTTGTCAAGTTGTCACGACATGACTTTTTTTTGTGTTATGAGAGATATTTTCCCATTTCGATTGACTGCAATTCTCCCTCAAGCATTTTTAATTAATTCTGTTTGAGTATCACAAATAGAAAATAATGCAAACACTACATTTTCATATTTTTTTTTCTGGTATGAATTAATCGCAGCTTTGATCTTGCATCTAGCAACCACAGAATCAAGTTCTAAGATGTTCTAGTTGATGCATTCCATTCCACAGGGTAATTTCTTGTTTCAGACCAGGAATATTGGTACGAACAAGCTCGAATCGCTTTGCGGAAGAGACTGCAATATGCTAGCGACCGCCGGCCACATGCCAAGAATGTGGTGTTGTTTGTGGGAGATGGAATGGGCGTAGCCACGGCCACTGCCGCCAGGATACTCCGAGGACAACGGCTAGGCAAAAGAGGAGAGGATCATGAACTCGCCTGGGACACATTCCCGGCGGTTGCCTTCGCCAAGGTACTCAAATCGGGGCATTTTGAGTTGCTTATCGTCACCTGAATAAATCCTGGAGGAGACTCCAGGTCGAGGCGCCTTAGAGTTATTTATGACAATGCATTAAAAAGAAATTTTTTAAAGATTATAAGCCATGGGCGCCGACTTGCAGGATTTGAAAACAATTACGCGAAAAAAACAATTCTTTCTTCACTGTTTGTTCAATTAAAAATTAAAAACAATATATTTTTTAATAGTACAAAAGAAGAAAATCGATAAATTACATAAGCAATAAAAATTGTCAAGAAAATAGTATTCAGTTGCAAAGTGCTTCAAACTGTTGAGTTTAATTTTTTTTAAAGATTAAAAGCTATGGGCGCCGACTTGCAAGACTTGAGAACAATTATGTCAAAAAATAATTTCTTCTTTCCTATATTTGTTCAATTAAAAATTAAAAATAATATATTTTTTTAGTACAAAAGAAAAAATCAATAAATTACATACCTAAGCAATAAAAAGTCTCAAAAAAATAGTACACTTTCAAAGTTGCAAAATGCTTCAAATTGTTGAGTTTTGAAAAATAATACACTACTCTTAAATTTGAAAAAAAAATCGGAAACATTAAAAAAAAGACTTTTTTTGAAAATTTGCGTGAATGATCGTACTGAATACAGCTTCGGGATATCAACTTTTCATTAATGCAATTAATTGGTTTTTGATATTTTTACATTTCTAAAAATATAATTTTTTTAATTTTTTTTTAAATTTAGCATGCAAAATTGTAAAAAAGGTGAAAAAAAACTACTTTTTTCCTTTTTTCTCTTCTCTTTAGATCAATGATGCAAGTAATTTTTGTTTTCAAAAAATCGTAAAAACATCTTGCAGAAAATTTATTCCAGTTTTTGAAACTGGAGCTAGCTCACGATGTATTGATTTAATTAATGAAAATTTCCCTAAGTCCGCGGACCAAAAAAAGAATTAAAAAAATACATTTTTTTCTCTCGGTATTTCTTAGAATTACGTAATACCGAAACTTTTTTTTTAATTTAACATGCAAAATTGTAGAAAAACGTGGAAAAATGCTTTTTTCATTTTGATGAAGATTATACAATGTTCAGAAACAATTAATTTCTTTAATTCTTTTGTAAAATTTTCATCAACCGGTCCGAAAAAACAGTTTAAAGCTATTGGGCGTACATTAGACTATAAAAAATCTGGTGTGAACACGACTTTCCTTATCATACTTATTTGGAAAATATCCTAATAACGACAATAATTCAGTGTAACCTTTGCGTTAGTGTCAAATGCCAGATTACAAGCAAAATAGATCATAGTTGTCGCGGGTTCGAATCTGGGATGCAGTTTTTTTTAGTTCGGTACCCATTATTATTATTATTATTATTATTTTATTACATTTCACTGTTTATTAAGGTATATTTCATGATTCTAAATAATTTTACGGCCGATTTTTGGTCTTTGCGACCGAATGGTGCGACCGATTTTTACCAAATGTTTTGTGCTGCGTCCCCTTCCTATAAGTAACTTATGTACCAAATTTCAAGTTTCTAGCTCTTATCGTTCTCGAGATGTGCTATACCTTTCCAAAAATTTCCCTTTTTTTTTCTTTTCTTTAAATCAATGTTGCAAGTAATGTTTTTTACAAAAAATTGTAAAAACATATTGCAGTATTTTTTTTTACAGTGTTTAAAACTCTATGCGATTATTGGTTGCTGAGATATCGATGATCAAAGACAAAAAAATCCTTTTTCATTAAAAGTCAAATAT